CTCTCTCTCTCTCTCTCTCTCTCTCTCTCTCTCTCTCTCTCTCTCTCTCTCTCTCTCTCTCTCTCTCTCTCTCTCTCTCTCTCCCCCTCTCTTTCTCTCTCTTTCACAATGTCTTCTCTCACTCTCTATCTTTCACACTGTCTCTCCCTCAGTCTCCCTCTCTTTCGCACAGTCTCTCACTCTCAGCTATCACTGGGTGGTGCTGGCTGCCTTGGCGCTACTCCAGCAGCGTGATGGCTGACAGTCAGGCAGACGGGATGCCACTAGCAGTCCCAGCATCCTTCAAGTACCGCCTCTTCCCCCGCGCCCTCGGTCCCAGCCGCACACGCTATCCCAATTCAATCATCTTAATGCTCTGCTGAGATAGCTCAAGTGCTCCTCCCGTCACTGGCCAGTCTATTCTCCCGGTATGGCAGGTTTGGCTCTCAATCTTGCCGAATCAAGGCTACTCGGTTGGTTTCTGGAACAGGTAAAAGCTTCAGCACTATCAACATAAAGTATGCTGGCACATCAGGAAAACTGATCAAATTCTAGAAAGACCTTTCCCAGATGGAATTGCACACACTTGTGCTAAAGTGACATGTAGTGCAATCGAATGGGTACTAGCCATGTGTGGTACCAAACGTCAGTCATAGTCAGTTTGATGCATCCCCAGTGCACTCCAAGAAATGAAGAAGAACGAACCAGTGATTGGCAATGAAAGAACATGGATATACTCCATTGCAGCAGAGCAAGTATGCGATGGTGGTGTAGCTCCATCTCTTCTGCTCAGCACACATTAACTGCCTACTACAATAGGCGTGTTCCAAACCACCAATTTCCTCTTCCCAAACTATTTTTCAGTAGATCTTGGGACTGACAATGATTATATACAGTTTAACTGACATGGCTCGACCAGACCGTCTTTTACTGTATCAGAATGTTACTTGCCTGATCTTGAAATTGTCAGAGAATTAGTACAGCAACAAACGACATGATTCAAAGTTTTCAAACAAGCTCATCTTCTGTTATAGAAAACTGTGTTCTTGCCTTATAAATCCCAGATAATACCATTCAAAACTCGAATAATTAAAATAACTAACATGCTTGGGAAAGAGGGAAAAAAACTGCGCCCGGCCCACGAAGTGCTGCACAGACACCGGCCTGGATGCCCGGCCGCGCAGGACCCCGGGGCTGGGTTCCTGGGCGTCACAGCAAAGAAAAAAAAAAAAAAAAGCTGAGGAAGAGTGATGTTGTGTAGAATCACAATGCAAAGTTGCAGACTTTTTCTGAGGGTCCCCTTAGAACTTCTTATGGAATTGAAGATAGAAAAGAAAATAACAAAACACTAAGACACCTTCCTTTAGATCCCTTCAGCCCCTTTAAAGCCCGGATTACCCTGCTTCCCCTCCTGTGATGGACAACATTGAAGGAAAAAGGAGCCTGGATTTCGTCTCATCTCAGCAAGCGAGGAAGTCTCCCACTGCCAAAACAAACAAACAAACAACTGGACTTCTTTTACATTCCAGGAATCCAGGGTACCCCGGGCTGCAGCTCCCCGTGGTCGTGATGCCCGACCAGGTGGGTAAAACTTAATGCAATAACAAACCATCATCAGAGGGTGACAGAAGGACCGGGGGGGGGGGGGGGGG